ATATATATATATATATATATATATAATTTATAGCCTGTGTGAAGAATTTGCTGGAGCTCATAATAAACTTCTTGAAAAGACATTCATGTAAGGCTCAGTACTGCTTACAGGAGATTGCTATAATAAAAAATGACTCCCATTCAATGCATTTAGTCTAAATATGCCTCAGCTGTTCCTTCTTATCTTTCAGTGAAACCCAAAGGTCTGATTCATCACGCATCTGTCTCTAGTTTATTAAAAGCAATGTAGGTTTATTATACTCAAATCTCACTGGGGGTTGAATTTGGAAATATGGAAAATATTTCATAGATGGCAGTATATTAGTAATATTATTATAATGTATGTTTATTTCACAGACCCTACTTGCTAGTATTGATGTCTATTCTGACCTATTCCATGAATAATGAGATTACTCTGGCAGGCTACAAGAAGATAATATAGTGAAATTATTAAGATAGGTTTCCACCCTTACCAAGGAATATTATTATTATTATTATTTTACCATGATTGTCTTCAGATGTTGGCTCAGTAGATTACTGTAGAAGAAATTGGCTTATATCGCCCCCTTGTGGTAAAAATGTAAATTAAATTATCTGTTGTCTGCAGAAAAATGTCCGATTCCTCAGTCACATAAACTTAACGTTACTTTGTTTGTAGTCCGTATTTAGCGACTTTTTACCAAAAACAAAACGAAAACAAACAAAAATAATGACATCAGAATTCACGCTTGATGTTCTACTGTTTATTATGTTGTCAAATAAAATGTGAATCGAAACCGTAAATTAATAATAATAATAATAATAATAATTGGAAATCCAGAAGGAGCCCATAACTTGAAAGTGCGGATGTTTCCTTAAAAAGGACTACAAACTTAAATATCTAACATTCTAACCAAACTCTATAAATTAAGAATAGTTTACTGAATTTTAAAATAACTTGTTTTCTGTTTTAACGACATTAATGCTAAAACTAAATGTATTATGCATCCCTTTTCGGGTTCAGATTTAATTATCATAAACGCTTTCAAATAAAAAGCCAGCCCAGAGCCCCACCCTCATCACGTGCCCGGATGTATCTCGGCGGAGAAACAGGAAGCGTTACCGCAGGGAGAGCGAGGGAGGTGGAGAGGGGCGCTTGAATGAAACGGGCAGGCCGTGAAAACACTGCCATCTCTCAAATCAGGACCGCACTGGCCACGGCTGGGGTACGATATGCGCTCGGCTTTCTTTAACATCACCTGCGCTCTCTGCATGCCGCACCACACAGACACACACACGACCAGACACGTAGGCTGTGTGTTAAACCCTAGCGAACTGTCTACCAGCACAGCTTTAATGGCATAATAGGCGCATATTCGAAAAAACCCAAAAGGAATATTTTTAGATGGGCATCTTGCTAGGCTTTGAAACACATTCATAGCCTCCCATGATCATCCGTGATCAAATCGCTTCTGTCTGTCGTTCATGTAAATACTGATACTGGGCTGGTGTGGATGTGAAGCTGGTGCTGGTGATTAAAAGAGGAATTAAGTGTTGATTCCTCTTGATATGGTTTTGCTAGCGTAGTCTTTAGCTGGTTTGACAGAAATGTATCTCGCATACAACTTTGTATTTCTAAAATGAAATACCTTTTGCGTTTTGTAGAGGAACGGGACAGGTCTGTAATGAACCTGTGTGTAATACAACCCACTGGTTGATAGGCACCTGTTTTTATTCTTGAATGTCAGAGCTGTGATTTATTGCTTTAGAATATGCTAAATCATACCAGTAAGTGACACTAATAAGCCATTTTGCGTTTCTGTTTACAATATTGTTCACATTTGTTGTCAGTGCATGTCTAAACTGAAGGATTTGTTTCTGTTTTCTCTTTCTTCTTGCCACATCTTGGCAAAAGAGACAACAGAAACAAAATCCTTTACTTTAGACTTGCGCTGACAACAAACGTGAACTAAATCATAAAGCTTATTTTAAAGACATTTATATTATTAACAAAAGCTGAAATAATAATAACAAAATGTTTAGTTTAGACTTGTACAGAAAAGGAAATGTTCATTATATATTTTTATTCTTTTTAATGTCTTTAATATTATATTATTTTGATTTAATGTGTTTATAATATGCTTTGTTGTACAGTTTTGCACATATTTGTTGTCAGTGTATGTCGAAAGTGAAGGGTTTGTTTTGCTTTTGCCACATCTACAACAAGAGAAACAAAACCTTTAGACCACAAAATAAGCATTTATTACTATACATTTATTATTATTAACGTTTAGTTTGGACTTGTACAGCAAGACAGAGAAACGTTTTTTTTTGTCTTTTTAACATGTATATTTTTTGTTTTTTATTATTACTATTATGATAATTAATGATACAATGTCTCTATAATATTCTGTATAATATTGCTCATACTTGTCAGTGCAAGTCTAAACTTAGACATTGTCTTTGTTTTCTCTCTCTGTAGATGTGGGTGGCATCATGAGCGTGAAAGCTTTTGAGCTGGTTCCCGCCGTGGAGCGGGAGCAAGTGATGGGTGAAAAGGTACGGATAAACATCGAATGCATCGAGTGCTGCGGCAAACACCTGTACCTTGGCACCAATGACTGCTTCATCCATCACTTCCTGCTAGAGGAGCACACTACAGCCAAAGGTAAGCTGGCCTATAATGTCCAGAAGCTCCTCCACAAATACCTGGGCCTGAAGAAGCCAGTGGCAGAGCTGAAGGCTGCCTCTGCGTTGGAGCGTCTAATTGTCCTCTGTGACTCAAGCATCACTGTTGTGGACATGGGTACTCTGGAGCCTGTACCCACTGGTGGCACGAAGCTCAAAGGTGTGACTGCGTTTTGTATCAACGAGAATCCAGTGACGGGGGACGCGTTCTGTGTGGAAATGGCAGTGGTTTTGGCACGCAGACGGGCCGTCCAGATCTGTACGGTCCATGAGGACAGAGTGCAGATGTTAAAGGAAGTGACCACACCAGAGCAGCCCTGTGCCCTGAGCCTGGACGGATACAATATCTGTCTAGCCCTGTCCACGCAGTATATGATTCTCAACTACAGTACAGGAGCCTCTCAGGACCTGTTCCCTTATGACTGTGAAGAAAGGAAACCCATTGTGAAGAGGATTGGCCGGGAAGAGTTTCTCCTGGCTGCTCCAGGCGGCCTTGGTGAGTTAAATGACCAAAGATGGCATTGATCAGTATGTACACATCGACCTTCTATTCAAATTTTAATATAAGCTTGTGCCAGCAGGAGGCTTTTCTTTTCCTTATTGAAACATTTTAGTCATCAATGATATTTCGAGGATCTTCACTGGAAGTTTTCAGTCAGGTCTGTGACTGAATATGTAGATATTGTCATAACTTTTATGGTTTAGGTCAGGAGATATTAATATAAATAAAAAATATGTTCTTGAATAAATATAACATTCATTCTGAAATATGGTTTTAGTAAAAAAAAAAAGTGCAGCGGTGATGACTTTTGTTGTAGGAAATTCAGTTTATGATTCTTACCATCAAGATAATCTTTACAAATAAACACAACTTTTATTTTTAAACCTAAAAATAATCACCTGAAGTAAAAAGCTACACGTAAGCTATAACCGAACAACACCACGGGCGCATGACTAACGTCACCGCCGTTACCGTTAAGCTTCCGACAGCTCCTTCAGTCTCTATTAAACAATAAATAAATTCCTGGACGGTTTGCGTTAGAATTGTCTGCAAGAGTGTGATTAGTGAGTAGATGAGTTTACCTGTTTTGCATGATGTTAAATGTCCCCACTTAGCCACTTGTAAGCATCCGGCTTTTTCAAGACAATTACTGATGAAGTTAATGTTGAAGAATAAAACATGAAAATATCTTGTGCTTATGTTAACCATAGACCTTATTTCAGGCTTTTAACCAAAAACCCATTTAAAACCCCATTGACTTCAGAATAATGGAACCATATATGTGAAGTGGTTGTGGCTTAAAAAATATGTCACCTCTGCAAGAGATGCAAGCCAGTAGTACTTTTTTTCCCCTCCCCCTTTTGGACTTTGGAAGATAGTGTTTGTGGTCTAAATTCTCAGTGGGAATCCCTTTATATTCGCACTAGTGCATTTCAGAAGGAAATGCCTGAGGGCTCCGTATCTTGAATTGTTTTCTATGGCGAATGCATCTATTATTTGTTTGTTTGTCATTTTTATTATAACTTTAGCCGCACCCCACCCGAGATATGAATCTGTCTTCTCAGCTATGTCTGTCGTCATGGCAATCACTCGTGATGAGTCATACAGCTCTGTATCTTTATCTCTCAGGGATGTTTGCTAACGCAGAGGGCATATCTCAGCGTGCTCCGGTGAGCTGGTCAGAGAGTGTGATTGCGGCGGCTGTGTGTTTCCCGTATGTGGTCGCTCTGGATGAAGGCTTTGTGACAGTTCACAGCATGTTGGACCAGCAGCTCAAACAGACGCTGTCGTTCAGAGATGGACACGTTTTACAGGATTTTGAAGGTAAGAGTGCTGTCCCATACATTGACCATTTATTTCATCCTTACACTGTATTAATTGTTAATACTGGTGACATTTAGGCACAGTGTACCTATTTGGCATGTAGTCAGTCATGAAAATATGGCTTTCCAGCATTCCAGAGCCAGAAAAGATTTATTGACAATTAGACTGGACCTACAGTAGAAACATAAGGCAGGACAGGATATTGATAGACTGTGTTTTCAATTACATCTTGTTAAATGTGGGGGTCTGCTCTATTTATAGCATATTCACATTCACAGTCAAGCAAGTCACGCTCTCTGCATTCTTTGAGGTAAAAACTATGACTTCTCTCTGATGATGTATGCAGAACGTCTCCAATCATTTGTTTAGTTGGGCTTCAACTCAGATTTTCAGTGTGGATAAATATGATGCTTTGAGGAAAGCTGGTACCCGTAGTTACAAGTGATCATTACTTTAAAAGTAAAAAAAACAAAACAATATCTGACATTGAACATAATGATGACTGGATATCTTGCAAAAGGCCAAAAAGGCAACCTCACGGCATACGCACTTTATTAAAAAAAATCGTACATACTGCATCTTTAAGTGTATTCTGCAAAACAAAATAACAGTTCACACAAATGTACTGTTCCAAAAAATGTAATTTATCTTCAATGAAAAAAATAACACAACAATGTTTATGAACATTGTATAAAAAAATGCATTGGACATGTAAACAGGACATAACTATATATCTACCTTTTCTTTTTTTAAATACACATTTACAGATTATGGTAAAACTACCAAATGTTGAATCATACTGTTTTTGCTTAGTTTTTATTGCATCAGTCTAAATTATTTGCAAAATAGACTGTTATTCTCAATCCCAGGTGTCATCGCATTGATTCAGTCAGACAACTTATTTCCAAACTGAATCAGCTCATATGATCAACTTACTTGGTGAATCACAGGTTATGATTTAAACATGAAAAATATGATTAAATTCTGCGCCAATTAAGTAAAATAAAAAAAGTTTATAATTGGGTGCGTAGATTCAGTCAATAGAGAAAAATACAAAAAGCAAAGGCAAAAAATCTGCACACCAAACAAAATGCAAAGTTCATTGTCCTTTGAACGAAAATGTATTCCTGAATATTTACTAAGATCGCACTGAAGATAGTCTAGCAAGGACTGAAACATTTGCTTTTTGTGTGTGCATGCGTGTGTGTGTGCACGGTCACTTTTTTGTTTGTGCACTTTCGTTTTTGTTGTAACCCTCAGTAAATCTTCAGGAATAAATTTTTGTTCAGTGGACTTTGAACTTTGCATTTTGTTTGGTGTGTGGATTTTTTTGCCTATGATTTAAAGAGGCAAATTTGGAAGGGTAGTAAAGAGTTTCAGAAAAAACAAATTGTCAAAAACAAAATCCTGTAGGAAACACTGTAAAGAAACAGCAGAAATGGCGCTGATTTAAACATTTCAATATATATTTAGATCTCAGATGTCTTAGTGGGTATTCCTTCAGATTGCTAGTGCTGCAGTCTACTGTTTTACCAGTATTGATTTCTCTGAAGTGCGGAGGTAAATCTCCCTACAAATCAGCAAGGAAATTTTCTCCTGTCAAGTCTTGCTAAAGCTTGATAGGGCTTGAATCAGGATGAAGAAAACCAGACTCATTCTCATTTAATAAAGCAAGCAGTGCAGAGAATGTAGTGAAGGCAATTTACTCAGGAGCTCCTGATGTAATGTGTTATGACAAGCTCAGATCAGGTCAGTCGCTATACGTCTCACGTCAAAAACTCATTACTGTACCGATCACAAGCTTGATTATTTTTCAGTTGATAAATCATGTATGACCACCGGCACTCACACATTCTCATGTCTTATCAATGTGCTGTACTTTATGCTAGCGCATTTGTTTTCATAAATGTGGCTTGTAGTGGTGTTTTATGTAAACACCTGTCATCCCTTTCATATCATTCAATGTTCCTCAATGCTTTGAACTATAGGTACATCAGCTACAGCATTCAAGTAATGCAGTGCTCAAACATTTTCTGATAATAATCAGCTAATGAATGTCTTTTTGTGTCCACTTTATAAAGAACCTCTAAATTCTTTATTTCTGATGCCCTCTCTCAGGTAAGGTGGTGTTGGCCTCTTCAAAAGCGGTGTATATACTGGTTCCTCTCCCTCTGGAGCGTCAGATCCAAGACCTGTTGGCAAGCCATCGAGTCGAAGAGGCGCTGACCCTCACCGAGGCGGCACAGAGAAACATTCCCAAAGAAAAATATCAGGTACACCAAACTGATCTGGCAAACTGGTGAAGAAACGAGAGTGTTTCTCTCAATTGGGGAAAGGATTTTAATTGACGATTTTCTCTTTTTATGTTGTAGATATTGCACAAAAGAATTCTCCAACAAGCAGGATTCATCCAATTTGGCCAGCTTCAGTTTTTAGAAGCAAAAGAGCATTTTAGGTGAAGTGTATCATTTTGTCATGTAATTAATACTGTTAATTGCCGCTCAGACCCAGATGTTTCAGAGGATGACTGAACGGAGTTAATTAACTTCTTTGCTAATTGCTTCTTATCCCTCTGTGCACCTGACCCTAATCGCCGTATGCTAATGGATGGAGAACAGTAACTTGTCTAACAGCTGAATAAATGGCCGATATAAATATCAGTGGATCTACCATGTTGAATTCTCCCTTGTATTTTAGGTTTCTACATCTATCATGCAGCAAGAACTAGTAATCTGTTTAAATCACTGATTGCTTATACTACTGTAGTTTTATTTATTTTTTTTATAATAAAACAGCAAAATAAATGCAATAAAATAATAGCTTAGTAATAATAATACACTAAATCAGACCCATTAAAAAATATCAGTTTTTTTATTTAAATAAATGGAGCTTTATCTGATGCCCATTTTAGGAAAGGACAGCTGGATGTACGGGAGCTGATCTCTCTTTATCCACTGCTCCTTCCCGCCTCTTCCTCTTTCACGCGTTGCCATCCACCACTTCATGAATTTGCTGACTTGAACCACCTGACGCAAGGAGACCAGGAGAAGGTACAGCGCTTCAAACGTTTCCTCATTAGCTACCTGCACGAGGTGCGTTGCAGCGACAGTGCTAATGGTTTCCATGAAGATGTAGATACTGCATTGCTGAAGCTCTACGCAGAGACCGGCCACGAGAGTCTCCTTGACTTGCTGGCCTCCGATAATGCCTGTGTCCTGGCAGACAGCGCCCCCTGGCTGGAGAAGCATCACAAGTGGGTACTCGCTTTTATTTTTCCTTTGAGTAGCTATTGATCAGAAGATTACATCCAGTTTTGACAGTTTATTTTTGCAAGAAAACTAAAGATGATGTTCCAAAGATGATGCTTGCGACACCTTTGCTGAGCATCACATTTAGTAGTATTTTGGTTGGTGTCTCATAAACCATCATGATGCATTAATCATCCATGCCCTCTGTCCTTTTATTCACTACAGTTACTATGGCAGTGCATGAATTAAAGCTTTAATAAATGTCAGTGTTTGACAATGGTTAAATAACTTTTGCTACATTTCTTAATGTGTGTAATTTGACTGTAAATGTTTTTTTCTCCGTGTTCAGGTATTTTGCTCTTGGGCTTCTGTATCACTACAACGGTCAAGATTCTGCAGCTTTACAGGTGAGATCTGATTGCTGATGTGCTGGTTGATTGTGACAGCTTAGCCAAAGTTTGCTGCCAATGTTAGTTCACCCAAAAATGAAAATTCTGTCATTAATTACTCACCCTCATGTCGTTCCAAACCCGTAAGTTCCTGACCTTCGGAACACAAATTAAGATACTTTTGAGGGAATCTGAGAGCTCTCTGACCCTTTGTAGACAGCAATGCAACTGCAATGTTCCCAGGTCCAGAAACGTAGCAGGGACATCAGTAAAATAGTCCATGTGACATCAGTGGTTTATTCTCGTAGCTTCATAAAATTACGGTTGAACCACTGATGTCACATGGACTATTTAAAGGATGTCTTTACTACCTTTCTGGTCTTGAATGTGGTAGTTGCGTTGCTGTCCATGCAGGGTCAGAAAGCTCTCGGATTTCATTAAAAATATCTTTAATTTGTGTTCTGAAGATGAAAGACGTTCTTATGGGTTTGGAACGACATGAGGGTGAGTAATCAATGACAGAATGTTCATTTTCATCCCTTTAAATACTAATTAATATCATATATGATATGACATAATATGTGGCATGCTGTTGATTACTACAGAAAAAAATATTATTATAGTTCTTTAGTGTCACATCTGATCCAGCATTCTAATATGCTTATTTGATGCTCAAGAAACTTTTTTTATAGTTACCAATGTTGAAAACATTTGTGCTGCTTGTTTATATTTTTTGTGGAAACCATGATGCAATTCATCAAAGAATTCTGGAAAAAAAAGTTGGAAGGAACCGCATTTATTTGAAATAGAAATATTTTGTAACATTATAAATGTTTTTACTGTCACTTTTGATAAATTGAACACATCTTCACTGAATAACAGCATTAATTTCTTTAAAAAAAAAACTTTTTCACTTTTTAAAATCACTTTTATGCTTTGTTCACTTAAATTCACACACTTAAAGGGGTCATATGACGTTGCTAAAAAGAACATTGTTGTATATTTGGTGTAATGCAATGTGTTTATGCAGTTTAAGGTAAAAAAAAAAAACACATTATTTTCCACATAATGTACATTATGGTTGCTCCTCTATGCCCCACATTTCTAAAACGCAAATTTTTACAAAACTCATCATTCTGAAAAGCGAGGTGTACGCTGATTGGCCAGTGCGTTGTGATTGGCTGAATACCTCAAGCGTGTGATGGAAATGTTACACCCCTTACCATACTGTGATGCCGTCTCCCGCCGCGACGAGACAAAACCAATAAAACCCATTACAAATGAGGCATTTGTTGCATCCAGTGGGGACATAATTACTTATGTCTTATGACTTATACTGTCTTTTTACGGGTTGCGTATCGCACCGCGTAAACCTAAAACCATGTCTGCATTTGTGATCGGAGAAACGACAAACAACAAGCGCTACTCTACACTGCTCAAAACTCGCCTTTGAATCATCAGTGGCAAATTCTTTAAATATGAAAACGTACTTGCAGGCTGTGAGTCAGAAGCGCCAGATTGTCCTTGCAAAGTAGGAACTGCCCCACTTTATAGAAACGGCCATTGTGCACAGATGCATTGTAGGCTACTCTGCAGGTTCAGGAAACAGTCCTCCATAAAATGCAATATGAATATTTGGGTTGAACTGTTCTGGAACAGTGTTGTAAATACAACTTAACCACTGATTTCTAGTTGTGTCCTCTTTTGTAAGGCCAAACAAAGTGGTTTCGCTTTCACACCGAAACACACAGCGTCTCCACGACATAGCGGCGGCGGCAACAATACTACAGCGAGAATCAAAGTTATGCCTTCTTTCTTTGCGTGAACATTTGGGCGGTGTTATGCAAATCTTCCCACACAGTGACATAGACATGTGGGGGCGTGTTTGAATGAGGCGTTTTAGGAGGGTGTGGATGAGTCTTAAAGGGTTAGTTCACCCGAAAATGAAAATTAGCCCATAAATTACTCACCCTCAAGTCATCCTAGGTGTATATGACTTTCTTCTTTCAGACGAATCCAGTCAGAGTTATATTAAAAATTGTATTTGATCTTTCAAGCTGTTTAATGCAACTCGGCGGGTGTTGCATGCATCCGTCCAAAAGCAGTTAAATAAAATGCGCCAATCCATAAAAAAAAAGTGTCTCACCATGAGGTCAGCGCTGTGCATGCGCCAGTGAGTCTCGTGAAAACCAACGTTTGTTAACGGGAGCAAAGGAAGCAAAGTTTCCTTACTTTAGCAAAGGAAAAGCAGTCTCCTATTGACTTATATCGAAATCCTTCTGGGTACTGTGGGTGCAGCCCTAGAAAATCGCAACTTTTAATTTTCCATCATTCTTAGTACACGATGTAACTACAGAAGAGTCAAGTTTTAAATAGGAAAAATATTGAAACTCTTTGGTCATTTTTGAGCGAGATGCTAACGGTCTAATCAGATTCAATGATCTATGCTAAGCTACAGGTAAAAGTGCTACCGCCAGACCCGGAGATCGGCTGAATGGATTCGAAAACGGTAAAACTCAACTGTTTAACTCTAGGGGAGTTGGAATATGAGCCTATTTTCAAAAATAGTGGAGTGTTCCTTTAAGGAAACTTTTGGCTTATCTCCCGAGACCACAGGAGGGCGCAATGAGCAAAACAATGCAGCATATTAAATTGTCAATGCAAATAACGGTCTATAAAAACGTGCATGAATTAATGTATGTGTGTGTGTGTATATATATATATATCAAATATAATTTTGTAAACTGCATAAACAATTATGAACAAAACAGCATCATGTATTTATGCATTGCTTAATACAGAGCCAAATCTCCGATCACACAGATTGCATTTAAAAACATATGAGATGCAGTGAAATTAAATAAACCTTCACAAATTCGTGTCGGGCAATCTATAAATGTGAAAGATAATTAATAAATGGCCTCGTATTGGCCAGTTAATCTGCCTGGATGAAATATTGGTCTGTCCAAGTTAGACTGGTGTGATAGAATTGCTTACCAGTTTTGTCTGTCTAAATATACAGTATATCATTTTTTCTGTTTGTACCATGACCAGCTAAAAAGTGGTTGTAATAAAAGTAAGTAGTTCCATTTACTTCCACAGTGGGGGAAGTAGAAGGAATGTTACTTCAGATGCTATCAATAAATGCTTGGTGTATTTAACATTGAATATTAATTTTAAGCAAGATGCCGTTTTTTTTTTTTTTTTTTTTTTTTAAATAACCTCACAGTTGGATACACTCTGTTAATGGATGTCTGAGCATTTTTTTGGTCCTGTCCTGTTATAGATGTGGGTAAAGATTGTCAATGGTGATCTCCAGGACTCAACACGACCAGATCTGTTTGAATATGTTGTGGATTTTCTTAGTTTTTGCTCCAACCTTGATCTTGTGTGGCGGCATGCAGACTGGGCACTACAGAAGGATCAAAAGGTTTGGACTTTATATTATTGTTTACCCACAGAATAGTCATTGGGATGTCATTGAATGGCACTCTTTATCTTTTAAATACAGATTGGTGTGCAGATCTTCACCAAACGGTTTACGTCAGAGGAGAAGACGGGCCAGTTAAACCCAGATGACGTGATCACGTATTTGCAGAATCACAGTCAAGCCCTTCTGCTCTACCTGGAACACCTTGTTCTAGAGAAGAGACTGCAGGTAAATCATCACTGTTCCAAAGCATTTTTAATTCTTTAGTCCAGTGCTGTACCTATGCTAAAAGTTTCCCTACACGTTGTGTGTTGTGTCTCTGTTGTTACAGAAAGAGAAGTATCACACACATCTAGCTGTGCTGTATGCAGACAGAGTGCTGGGCCTGATCTCACGACCATCAGCCACTGATGACCAGCTGTCTGCTGCCCGCCAGAAACTACAACGATTACTGAAAGAGTCTAATCTGTACAGGGTCCAGTTACTACTAGGTAGGTATCCAGTACCCGTGTGCTTGTCTAGTGGTCGACCGATATATCGCCAAGGCCGATATATCGGCCGATATCTGTCATTTTTCAAATATCGGCATTGGCCGATAAGTTTTTCTGTTTGGCTTATGTGTTCGAGGCGGGACTTTTATTTTGACAGCACGTCAGACTTTTATTTTGACTGCGCCGAGAACGGCTGCGGTATAGTACAGCGCCTGAGTGAGCACACACCGCTCACATTCTCCCTCTTGTTCGCTTCTGTCTAATATGGATCGAAGTCTATCTAATAATCAGATAGAACTGTTAAACAAAGGAATTAAAATGTATACAAAAAAAGTATTATAATGATTGCTTTAATATTATTAGTAAAAGAAAGGCAAACATTATAATACTTTCTCGTTTGCCGTCAGCATTCTGCAAATACGCATTTATATAATTTAAACAAATCTTTGAATGACTAATGAACATTTAATTTCACAAACCTTGCAGACTTAGTCGAATCTAGTTGAGATCTTGTGAAGTGTGCATGTGACCTGCATGATTGCGTGTTCTCTGTGTGACGGTCAGTCTGTGCAAATTGAATGCTGACACCGGACAGGAGGAGAGTTCAGCTGCACTGGAGACGCGCGATCGACAAACTTTAAACTTGTGACTGATTTCAAATTATGCTGCGCTTTATGCATTTGCCCACTGTCATATTCATGTCATTTTCACTGTGTGCTGTATGTAAAATAAATAAATATGATTCCAAATGCACACAAACTTCCCAGAATATTGAGTGCCCTGTTGTTTACAGTGTTACCTTCCTTTTTAATTATATTTTTATTAAATATTTATTTATTTGTGAAAAATACTTTGTCTTCTAGAGTATAAGTATGATTATTTTACACGATTATTTTTTTAATCCATTTTCAAATGATTTCAAGTTTCTTAAATACAAATGAAAATAAAATGATATTGGCTTTATATAGGCCATCGGCCTCCCTGCTTTCAAAGATATTGGCATCGGTATCGGCTGTCAAAAAACCCACATCGGTCGACCACTACTTGTGTCTGTTCTCCAATTGACATATTAGGATTTTATTTTAATGTCAGACACACTGACCATTTGGTTGCAGTATAATTAATTGTCTCCTTAGGAAAAGAACATCAACAGCTGAGTTGAGCAGATCTCTAGTGGTCTTTGAGTTTGCAGATATGGCTCATTGCATTTTTTTTTTTTTGACTGTTCATACAGCAATAATGTCTTTCTGTTCAGGTGTTGTAGTAATGTTTTAAGCTAGACTACAGTTCAGCTACGCAACACAGAATGTAGTGGTTAGTGGGTCAATGACATTTACTGTAAGTATGCTCAATTATAAAAGGAAAGGAACACTTTCCTTGGGTTTCCCAAATGGGTGTTCATTAGGTGATGAAAACCTGCTAAATTGAATGTAATATTAAAATAAGTCAGTTTACAGTGATTTCAGGGCAGAGGGCTTTGGTTTACAGTGTGGTCTCCCCCTTTGTAAAAATTGCATTCTGGAGCGCACCAAATAAAGGGACAGGGGCTCAAGCCTCTTTAAAGCAGAGGTTTACAGTATTACACTAGATTTCAGTAGAATTTTACGTCAAAATAACACACGAAAGTTAAGACAAATATTTTACAATTGTAATATTGCATTTTAAAAATGCTGTTATTTTTTTTTGTTTCTTTTTTACAGTACAATACTTTATTGATACTAAGGCAGAAATTAATTTGTTATTAGTTTTGTCAGAAATGAATTTATTATTAGAACTATAATTTTAATTTAAAAAAATAAGTATCTTATTTGTTTTGTTTTTTTTGGCCAAGTTGTAGCCATAAGAGATTTTTTGTGAAGTAACGGTAACACTTTAGTAGTATAGGGACCAATTCTTACTATTAATTAGCTGCTTATTAGCATGATTATTATTAACTTATTGGCTGTTTATTAGTGCTTATAAAGCACATATTCTGCAAGACCATATGTGACCCTAGACCACAAAACCAGTCTTAAGTCGCACGGGTATATTTGTAGTAATTGCCAACCATACATTTTATGGGTCAAAATTGTCGATTATTCTTTTATGCCAAATCTTTTATGCCAGATCATTTAGATCATGTTCCATGAAGATATTTTGTCAATTTCCTACTGTAAATATATCAAAACTTAATTTTTGATTAGTAATATGCATCGCTAAGAACATCATTTGGACAACTTTAAAGGTGATTTTCTCAATATTTCTATTTTTTTGCACCCTCAGATTCCAGATTTTCAAATAGTTGTATCTCGGCCAAATATTGTCCTATCCTAACAAACCATACATCAATGGAAAGCTTATTTATTCAGATTTGACGGGTTTTGTGGTCCAGGGTCACATATTCTCCATCCCTAACTCAATACCTTACTAACTATTATTAAGCAGCAAAATTAGGAGTTTGAGGCAAAAGTCTTAGTTAGTGGTCTATTCTATTCATTCTATTCACCTTAAAATAAAGTGTGACCAAAATAACGTTATTCATAAAATTCCATTCAGTTAAAATTCCAATCACAATGTACACTCACCAGCCACTTTATTAGGTACATCTGTTCAACTACTCATTAATACAGATCTAATCAGCTGATCACATGGCAGCAACTGTGCATGGTCAAGACAATCTGCTGAAGTTCAAACTGAGCATCAGAATGGGGAAGAAAGGTAATTTAAGTGGCTTTAAATGTGACATGATTGTCCAGTACTAGCAAGGAGTACCCGATAAAGTGGCCGGAGGTGTAAAGAGCTGTCATATGATTTCAGTGTCATCTGCTTGTATGCTTGTAGGTAAAATTCAGGACTCCGAGCTGCTGCTGCTTGAGCGAGCTACACTACATGGGAAGTCAGAGGAACATGACAAGGCCTTGCACATTCTAGTGCACCAGTTCAAAGACTCGGCTGCAGCTGAGGAATACTGCTCTTGGGCCTCTGCGTCTCATGATCAGTTCTACCGTCAGAACCTTTTCCACCAACTCTTGAGTGTTTACTTGGACCCCGATGTACCAGGAGGGGCACAAACAGTAGCTGCCGTTGACTTGCTTAACCGGAATGCTGACGATTTTGATGCAGTGCGTGTGTTAAAGCTCCTCCCAGAGGAGTGGTCTCTACCGTTACTCCGTCCTTTCCTGTGCGGGGCGCTGAGGGCCAGTGTGCATGCACGGTGCACTTCCCAGGTTGCTGTGGGGCTGGCCAGAGCACAAAATCTCCAGCTTCAGCATGACAGGGTGAGTTCTCATGATTTGTGTTTTTTTTTATTTTCAATGTCAGCACAGAGTCAAGTCGCATGGTGCTCAGTCTATTCATTTAATCAAAATCAGAATCGAAATTTAATGTATTTAGGGGGATACAACTGTCCAGATATCATAATGAAGGGGGAGGAAGGGGGGGGGGTCTTGGTAAGGAAACTTAATTGAGTACTTTTTTTCTTTGTATTATTATTTCTTAATAAAATTAAACAAACAATACTGCTTGACTATTAGTTAATATTTGGAAGAACTTTTGTATGAAAAAGTCATATGGGTGTGTAAGTTGATAAAAAATTCAGGTATCTTGACTTTAATGATAAGGCATGGTTAGTTTAGATTGGGGGGGAGAAGCAATGCTGTGCAGCTCCCCCAAATTATTAAAAATTAATAATTCATGATATTTGTACCATATTTAAATATTTTTAAAACTGAAAATTATTGTGATGTGTACATTAGCATGTCTTCAAATGAAATCTAAACCTTTTTTTTTTTTAGCATTAACTAACGTTCAAAAGTTTGGGTTCGAGTTTCTTTAATGCTTTTTTTATTTATTTATTTAAAAAAAAAAGGAAAGTGTATTATGCTTATAAAGACTGAATTTATTTGATCAAGAATAAAATCTTTTCGTAAAATATATTTACAATTTAAAGCAATTGTTTTCATTTTTTTAATACTTTAAAATTTAATTTATTCTGGGACGCAAAGCTGAATTTTCAGCAGTCATTACTCCGGTCTTTAGTGTGGCATGATCCTTCAGAAATCATTCAAATATGCTGATTTAGTGCTCAGAAAAACATTTCTTACTATTAGCAATGATGAAATTTAATTGTTGCTTCATTTTTTTTGTGGAAACTGATATTTTTTTCAAGATTTACTTTAAACCATTTAATGGAGATACAAATGGAAGCTTTTCCATGTTCATTTATAGTCTGATCTGGAAAAACTTCAAAGTTACATCATAGTGTTAAGATTCTCCAATGAAAGGCTGATTAATGAGGCCAACCCAAGAAAGATATTCTTGTGTCTCTCTCTCCCTCCTTTCCACGTCAGAAGGTTAACTTGGCTTGATATTTCCATTTGAAGTCAAGTTTAAGTGATATTTAGTCAAATTGTAGCCATATCAAACAAACCAATGGACTCAATGTTTGTGTAACTATATGCTAAAGTGCACAGATTACATCCAACTCTTTGTTTCTCATATGCATGTGTGGTGATATGGACATGAGTCCTCATGTCTTAAGAATGCTAAGCTGTTTTTAATGATCAAAAAACATTTTGAACATGCTAAATTACATATGTTTAGGGACGCACGATAGCAAACAGCTGCGGGAGGTTTTGCATGAGAATGATTTATAACCTCATATCTGAATAAGTAGGCTATTTGAAAAGTGTTTTGTCTGAAAGTGGAGTAAGTTAAGAGTGAAAGATGGGGGGAAAGCACAGAATAAACACAAATGCGTAAAATGACCTCGGTTATTATGACAAGGGAAAGGTAGGTTATAGTTGCCTTGAGATATTTTTACAGAAACGGTTTAACAAGTTATACTGGTAACTGTACAAGGATGATGGTAAATTCTATATATAAAAAAATCGTCCCACCGTTTATTACATAAATTATTTTGGGTATCGTACACAATGCCTGTGTAGTAAAGTGAATGTGCGCTACTGGGTCTTTGCTTTGATTTGCTGATGCATTTTTCCTGGAAAAAAGACCCATTCGTTCCTCTCCTTTACTGTCTAAAGAAGAAAGACTACACTTTTTCAGCTTGAGCAGTTATAAATGGAGATCCTCTATGTTGCTACATCTCTTTATATCCACTTAAAGTATTTTATACATAAAAATATAGATACTTGTGTACATACTGTATTATTAACTGTTTGTTGCATTGTAAATCGATGCCAGTGTGGATGGAGTGTACAAAATGTAAAGACGTCCATTTTAATAAACAAAACTATGCCTACATGAATGGAACACACGGTTTGGGATGTACTTCATTCTAAAAAAGAGCCGAGAGTCATTTAAAAGCCATTAGATGGAGGAAGACAATGAGGGTAACTAACGTTAGAGGTGACGGCAGGAGTCTTCAAAGGCATAGCAATGCTGAACGGTGAAGCAGATCAAGTTGTTTCACGTTTATAGCTTTTATTTGTTTCAGACAGGCCACAACCATCCATCAAGCATTCATAGCAATCACTAAAGCACCAGTGATTCAGAAATAATATTATGGAGGACAAAACACAATACAGTTTTTAATTATGTGCCCCAGATAGTCTGAGGTTAAGCGCTTCTGCAAATTTTGTCTCAAATGTGAGCGATTTTAAATGTGTAGGTAATATTTTTGATGACAAAAAGTGAATAAAACTCGCTCTGAAAATACTGAACTGTGCAGCTACTTATGACAGCACATAATGCAATCAAATATAGTTTCAAAAGTGAGCCTGATACAAGTAAATGAAGTAGCCTGCCTATAAAAATAGGCCAATGTTACATTTTTAACATATATGCTGCATAACTAAGTGGTATGTACTAAAAATAACAGTAAATGTTTTTCTATAATGCAAATACTTATATTTTACAATTTTTTTTTATATTTGACAAAATATTTTGTATTAGCGTTACCGATTGTGCACTACGCATATTTCTGAGGTGTGAAATGTATAAACTGCCTAAGCCATCATAGTTAAAAGATTAAAATCAAAACGTAAATTTTTTTTAAAAAACTCAGCTAAATGATTAATTTCATAAACAGTATTGTCGCCCTCTTGTGGTAGAGCATTACAATCTAACCAACCTCACTATATTCTGGCTATTATTGAAAAAAAAAAAAAAGAAATTCTCATATGAAATCAATGTTTATTGAAAGATGTTTATATTAACATTTTCAACACCGCTTTAATATACACAACAGTTCAATCTCAGAAAAAGAAAGATCTTTCAGTTCACAGATGTCCAATGCCATACCAACCAAGAGTCTATATTTCGTGAATTTTAACTGATGCAGTTGGGCTGCTTTATGTTTGTGATCAGCAAGGTATGATTGTCTACAGAATAATGCAATAATCCAGTGAGAGAGAGGAGTTGTGTCCTCTCTCAGGGTTCCTGTGCTGTATTGATCCTTTCCTGTTCAGCGCTTTTTCCAAGTGAATTTCTTCCGCGCTCCCTCCTGCCCTGGTTTCTTCCTCTCCTTGATCCTCGGGTCAGCGGTCAGCAGGCCGGCTGTTTGGTTAATCAGAGAAAACAGATGACAGATGAACAACATCTGTGACATGTTCTGCCACAGAAAAGCCATATAAACAAAAAAATAACTTGACACTGTTACGTCAGAATATTAGATCTGTGCAATGCAGTACAGACTAACATGCCTGACAGTTTTGTTAATGACTTAAACTCACATATTACCAAGAAAAATTGGGAGAGGAGGTGGGCAACATTCATTTGAAAAAGCAATTTGGGTAAATTGGAGTAAACTCAGTTTATTTTCTAAATAAACATTTGCAAAAATAATTACTAGTTACTAAAATTACAACTAATTAGTAAAATAATAACATGCATCCTGCCCATTTGACTGGACCAATACATTTGAATATAATAAACAAAAAGAAAACAAGTAGATCGAATAGGAAAAAAATGGAGAACGCTAGTGTTATAGGGTAATTTTTTTAATAAACAAAAAGAAAAGTCGAAGAATCGAAAAAGAACAGAACAGTAGTGTTAGAAATTAATTTCTTATAATAAATAAAAAGAAAACAGGCAGATGGAATAGAAAAAGAATAGAAAACACTACTGTTAGCGGGTCATTTTTATTATAAAAAAAAGAAAACAAGCAGATGGAATAGAAAGGAAGAGAAAATGCTAGTGTTAGAGGGTCCTTTTTAAAATAAAAAGAAAACAAGTAATAGAATAGAAATAGAGTAAGGAGTGCAAGTATTAGAAAATAAGAAATAGGAAAACAAGTAGGTAAAATTGAAATATAATTTTTTTCTTCAATATTATATTATGGATACAAAGTTATAGTAATAGTCTTTGCCATTTTAGATGAAGCTAACGTCTCACTGATGAAACTAGTATTCTTTTTTAATTTAAATTTGTTAAAAGAAAATGATGTGCATATTATTTGACACAAAAAAACACGTTTTCTTTTCATGTTCACAAACTTTGGACGAAATTATTTTCTGCGGTATTCAACACGAACTAAACATAAAATAACCCAGAATAACTACTTTATAAAGAAACTGCAGATGAAATATGCATAGACATATATCAGTATAATGCTTTAGGCTTCTTGTCACACACCTTGCCTCATCTTTTCAACTTCTCCCTCAGACACAAAGCTAAGCAGTGTATTTAAATTTGTTAAAAGAAAATGATGTGCATATTATTTGACACAAAAAAACACATTTTCTTTTCATGTTCACAAACTTTGGACGAAATTATTTTCTGCGGTATTCAACACGAACTAAACATAAAATAACCCAGAATAACTACTTTATAAAGAAACTGCAGATGAAATATGCATAGACATATATCAGTATAATGCTTTAGGCTTCTTGTCACACACCTTGCCTCATCTTTTCAACTTCTCCCTCAGACACAAAGCTAAGCAGTGCCCGTGAGATGGCCAATCGCAGAGCTCCAGCCTGAGCGGAGTGACCACTGCCCTCCACACTGCCCTCAACATCAAACCGGCCCAGCATGCCCACAAAGTGCAGAGGAAACATCAGCTGCTCCCTGAGAGAGAGAAAGAGAGAGTGAAAGGTATATATATAGTGCGAGGAGAATTAAGAACATGTTTCTCTCCGCTGGACTACTCAGGCTTTCAACATCTGTATGAGTGACACTCCTGCAAATCCCCCTTTGAGCACTGTATCATCATATTTAGACAAAGTGATTATCCTGCCACCGAAAGAACTATTGAGCAAGCATGTGTGCTTTAGTATGCGTGCGCTTGCTGGCTCGCTTGCAGGGACGGCCCACAGTGCTGACACAGAGCAACACTCCCCTTCTGCTCCAATTAGGCCTGTGTGAAGCGGACGGAGTGATAAGGGCGGGCAGCCGGCCGCACGCTGACAGAGCCAAGTCTCCGGCTCACTCATCTGTGTAATTAACTTTTCAACCACATTAGAAAAACCCAACACACTCACCACGCACGCTGGACCACAAATGCTGGATTTGAACATGTTTGGTGTGGCTCTCATTTATGGCATACTAACTACAGTAAAAACAAATAAGCTCTTGATATGCTAAAAGGATCTTTCCACAAAGATGCGATGCATGACTGAGGTGCCCTCATACACACCTGTCTTGTAGTAATGGAAAGTAGTGGAGGTAGTTCCTGCCGTTGATTGTGATGTTCCCAGAGCCACTGTCTCGGAGGGTGATGCTGGCTTTGGCGGTCTTCCTTCTGCCTGTGGGAAGGAGGGCGAAGTTAGAGTGATGTGGGAATTAAGTGAGTGTGTACAGAAGAAAAAACTGTTTTAGGCAAGAAGAGGAAGACAAGATGGAAAGCTTGCAGAATAAACGTTTTTAACTCTCAGATCTTACTTACAGGAACATGAGAATTAAAGGAATAGCACACCCAAATATGATATTATTACTTTCTCTCATGTTGTGAGGAACAGATCAGAATTCTGATTAGAAGGTTTGAAAATCTTTTGTCGGCTGTAGCTGTCAAATCTTGTCAATCCTGACTACAGAACACATCTGCAGACTTCAGAAAAATGTGCATGGATTACATTTATGATACTTATTGTGTGTTTGCGCCAAAAAAAGGTTGATGACATTTAATCAGCCTATTTATTTCTTTACCATCTGCAACGCTGAAAGTGACTCCCTGTGGGTCGTACTGCAGGGCAGGAATCTCGTGTTTACTGGACTGAACCTCCAGCTGTTTGCGGAACTTCAGAATGAACTCCTCCTCCAGAGAGCAGTAGGGCATAGACAACAACTTCTCCATCAGCTGGATCATCCGCATATACTACACAAAACAAGATAACTTGCTTAGTTTGCCAACATTACCCTCTAGGGTTTCCATCCTGAATTAGGCTTCTTGTCACACACCTTGCCTCATCTTTTCAACTTCTCCCTCAGACACAAAGCTAAGCAGTGCCCGTGAGATGGCCAATCGCAGAGCTCCAGCCTGAGCGGAGTGACCACTGCCCTCCACACTGCCCTCAACATCAAACCGGCCCAGCATGCCCACAAAGTGCAGAGGAAACATCAGCTGCTCCCTGAGAGAGAGAAAGAGAGAGTGAAAGGTATATATATAGTGCGAGGAGAATTAAGAACATGTTTCTCTCCGCTGGACTACTCAGGCTTTCAACATCTGTATGAGTGACACTCCTGCAAATCCCCCTTTGAGCACTGTATCATCATATTTAGACAAAGTGATTATCCTGCCACCGAAAGAACTATTGAGCAAGCATGTGTGCTTTAGTATGCGTGCGCTTGCTGGCTCGCTTGCAGGGACGGCCCACAGTGCTGACACAGAGCAACACTCCCCTTCTGCTCCAATTAGGCCTGTGTGAAGCGGACGGAGTGATAAGGGCGGGCAGCCGGCCGCACGCTGACAGAGCCAAGTCTCCGGCTCACTCATCTGTGTAATTAACTTTTCAACCACATTAGAAAAACCCAACACACTCACCACGCACGCTGGACCACAAATGCTGGATTTGAACATGTTTGGTGTGGCTCTCATTTATGGCATACTAACTACAGTAAAAACAAATAAGCTCTTGATATGCTAAAAGGATCTTTCCACAAAGATGCGATGCATGACTGAGGTGCCCTCATACACACCTGTCTTGTAGTAATGGAAAGTAGTGGAGGTAGTTCCTGCCGTTGATTGTGATGTTCCCAGAGCCACTGTCTCGGAGGGTGATGCTGGCTTTGGCGGTCTTCCTTCTGCCTGTGGGAAGGAGGGCGAAGTTAGAGTGATGTGGGAATTAAGTGAGTGTGTACAGAAGAAAAAACTGTTTTAGGCAAGAAGAGGAAGACAAGATGGAAAGCTTGCAGAATAAACGTTTTTAACTCTCAGATCTTACTTACAGGAACATGAGAATTAAAGGAATAGCACACCCAAATATGATATTATTACTTTCTCTCATGTTGTGAGGAACAGATCAGAATTCTGATTAGAAGGTTTGAAAATCTTTTGTCGGCTGTAGCTGTCAAATCTTGTCAATCCTGACTACAGAACACATCTGCAGACTTCAGAAAAATGTGCATGGATTACATTTATGATACTTATTGTGTGTTTGCGCCAAAAAAAGGTTGATGACATTTAATCAGCCTATTTATTTCTTTACCATCTGCAACGCTGAAAGTGACTCCCTGTGGGTCGTACTGCAGGGCAGGAATCTCGTGTTTACTGGACTGAACCTCCAGCTGTTTGCGGAACTTCAGAATGAACTCCTCCTCCAGAGAGCAGTAGGGCATAGACAACAACTTCTCCATCAGCTGGATCATCCGCATATACTACACAAAACAAGATAACTTGCTTAGTTTGCCAACATTACCCTCTAGGGTTTCCATCCTGAATTACACTCTTCACAGGATTCGTGAAATGTACACGTTCTTACATCATGATCTGAAATGTTCTCCACCAGATACTCCTCAATTTCCTCTTTTAATAGCCACCTGCTCCCAGTCAGCAATCTGTGAGGAAACGAGCACAGTCAAGCCATCAAAATCATCTCTTTCAGGGAAAATCAGCATTTTAAAAATGTTCTTCACTAGATTGATTCCTAATTTAATATTCTAATATACCTAGCACTATATATTACAAATACATTTGGCTCTGCGACAAAGTGCTTTTGCTATCTTCTTTTTCTTGCAGGAAGTTTTGAAGCGCTCACATTTGTTTGGTTTCTGACGTGAAGAGGCCTTTATTTCTCATATTGTCCTGGTGTCTTTCCATCGCCAGAATCTTCTCATAGACATCCTAGCATAACAGAAGAGAGAAATGGAAAGTGGTCAGTTTCAATACCAAAAGCAGAATTAATGCTAAAAAAGAAAGAAAGAATCCTCTGAGCATGGTCTCTGTTGACTAAGTCAATGAATACACAGAATGAAGGACGAGGTGTTCTTCATAGATATTCAGGAATCCCTCAAAAGAAAAGATGCAGTG